CTATACATTACAGTGTTATGAAGGACTTGCTGGTTTTCAATCTTGGAAAGCATCTGTGCTCACTAGTGCAGCCAAAGGTAGCGCAAGTCAAGGGCCATGTTTAATCACTGCTCTGGTTCTGTCAGTGCAAGACAGAGCTTTGTTTCTGAACCTGTCCTCAAAAAGTAAACCACTTTCCCCATTCTTAAAAGTATTGATTTCTTTATTTTAAAAGCTGCTTAAAATAAAGCAGTCTCCTGCTGATAAGAGCATTTTGAGGTAGTCTGGCTCTAGTTTCTCAAACTAAAACCTTGCTTCTATAATTAACTCTTTGTATGCAGTGCAGAACATGCAGTTGACTTTCCTTCATTTTAGAGGCTGTATGCTAAAATTATTAAGTCTCCTTAATGGAAAAAAATTAATTCTTTCCACACACTTGAAACTGACTAAATGCCAAGAAATTATATAAAAATGTGGACAAGCTCTTTGGAGCTCTTAGCCTGGAAAACACCTCTGCGTTGTGGAGTCTGGTCCCATCTTATCCCAAGTAACATAAAATGGAATTCCTCCATGAGTTTATCTCATTACATCTTAAATGCAGTTATACTTTTTCCTCTCCTCATTCTTCAACTTCTTCCCACTGAAAGAATGTCATGCAGAATGACTTGATGAGTAGGAACCTTCTCATGCCCACTGCTCTGTGTTTACTCCTGGCCCATTTATACTTGCCTGAGAACATGCCAACACTTCTGTTCTTCCCTTTTCAGGATAACTTCAAATGTTTATAGTTCTAGTGAAAAAATTTTCAAGTTTACTATTAAAAAAAAGGAAAAAGTTCTGCAAAATAGAGCCCTATTACATCACAGCTCAATACAGGAACCATCAGGCACTTTAGTACCAATGCGCTCTCATGTTAGAAAGGTACTGCTAAAGTTCTTCCTCCCTCTACTGCTACCCAATACTAGGGCATTGTGCTGCTCTTCTGCCTCACCTTTCCCACCTGACTGTGCTTTGGCATTTTTTCTTGAGAATTTTCTATATACTTCTGGTAAGATTTTGTCCCCCTTGATCCTCACATTGCTAATGCATGCTTTCGCAGCCATTTGGGGAAAAGGTGCATACACCTATTGCTTTGTCAACTCCATCTCCTTTACCTCTCTTAAGCCTTTCTCACAATGGCTGTTTTTGTTCTTTTAACTGGAAGCAGATAAACCGCTGATTAAAAACTAAATGACATTGAGCAGATGGTTGTACTACCTGTATATCTCCAGAAGCAATATAGCCCACATTCAAGGTTGCATATTATATTCCTGTAATGAGGGATATACTAATCTGCAATTCAGTCTGTGGCCCAGGGAAAAAAAACTGGTCTCTGTGTGAAAAATGTGCGACCCCTTTTCTGAAAGGTCCAGGCCTGCTAGAATGGCTTATGATGTTTGCTGCAGGTCTAACTCATGGCCCTACATGGCAGTTGCTAGAGACCTTTCTTTGAGTAGCTTCCAACATTCATTTCCATTTTTAAAGATGAGCCAGAAAGAATCTCCAGCTCGAACAGTGAAGAGAATACTTGATATTTAATTTATTATGTAGTTGAAGTGTAATGCTGTGGTATTAGAGAATGAAAAGTTGTAACAAAAAGCATACTCTGTGCATACTCAGAGCTGTCTGGGAAGAGAGTGAGTTAAACTACAGACCTGACTCTGTGATTCTAAATGCTAGCATCTATAAGTGGTAAAATGTATATTGATTAGGTACCATCAGATCCTGCAGGCAGTTTGCCTCGCCCATGTGCAGATGCTCTGCACTTTTAAGAAGCAGTGGAAAGTGCTGTGTAAGGATGTGTGGAAACAAGAACTCTTCTTGACATCATGTTTAGTGCACTGGACTCAGACAGCTTGAAGATTCCAGCATCTGCTCAGATATGAGTCTGAATAAATAAGACTGGGATCATTCATTACTATAGAACATGTATGTTGTTTTTTTTTTTTTTTCCCTCAAAAGAGATGCTTTAAAGACTAAATAGTGGAGTTTGAGCAAGATGAAGGGGAAATTGCAGATGTGTCCAAAACTTGATCACGGTAAGCATATTCACTGACTGTATGTACAATGATATTTAGTAAAAATTGCCTCTGAATTGAAAAGATTAAAGGAGAAAAATTTGAATGTGGAAATAATGGTTCATGGATGATTGCTTTGTAGTTATTATTACTAAAAACAAATCTGATTTTTTAAATTTGGATTATTTTGTTTCTTTTGCTTGGGGCTTCAGCATCACAGAATTACATATTTCTTTCTTCAAATAGTTCTAAAAATCATGCACATTTATGGCATTATCAGATTTGAAAAATGAGAAATTAGGTGGGTTAGTATATTAACTGACAAGGAGCAAAAGACAAAACATAAAGAAGATTAGGTGTTGGACCGTAGCTTCAGTACATAGGAATTAGGATATTCAAACGATTTGTATCTTTTGAAGGGCATGAAAGTAGAGATGGGGTTAATCTTTTCCCTTTTCAAGTGTAATTTATGGACTATCAGCTTGCCATTCAGAACTTCAGACTACCTTTCTGTCATGAGGGCATGAGGGTTTTTCATATTTCAAATAGCATTTATCAACTCGCAAGTAATCTGAAAGTAGTTGTTGTTAAATACCTTGTCTCTACGGTTATGCTTTCATCATAGTGCAAGTCCCTTGGAGGCATTTTTAAAAATCTACATTTCCATCTTTAAATTTTCGTTACATGAGGCATCTCTTGTATTGTTCTTCTCTGTATTGAATAGAAAACAAAGAAATCCCCCCCAAATGCAATGCAAACAAAAAATATTGTCTTTTTTACTCAAAAAGCTCCCATGTTGGATTGAGTTTTTTATCAAGTTGTATGATGTTTTAATTTATAACTGCTCATATTTTATATGCCATAAATTATATCAGCAAGAACAGAGGTACTTCATATTTTCTTACCTTCATAATATATACCATCTGTACAATAATTCTGAGCTTTTTTTTAAATACATCTTGATTCATGTAGACTAATCTTATTTCAATAATCTGTTGTGAAATTATTGTATGATATCCTTCAAGAGCTGGCATGGTGAAATGTCATGTCCAGAAGCAGTTTAACTGTTTGTCTTCCTCATTTAAGCTATGCCAACATTACCTACAGTCAGTTGTCTTTTGTTTTACTGCCCTATAACCCTACATGTAATCCTATTAAAAGTCATCTGTGCTTAGCCGTTAACCCTGTGCAGAGCATGTTCTTCCCTGTGTTTCCTGGACTGTAAAAGATGGTAGAGTCAGCAAGGAAAAAATTGTTTTGGTTTGTCTCAATGATTTTTTTCCAGTTTTATTTTCCTCCATATTTTTGGGATTTAAATGGTGCAGGAACATGACTAATAGCAAAATCCAGGATTTTTCTTCACACAACATGCACAGATACAAGTCCCTCTCCTTACTCAAACAGTATTGGAAACTGTGCAGAAACACAGAAATATATATCCTCTAAAAAACTGGAAATAGGCAAAGGGAAAGAATTAGGTGACTTAAAGGACTGAATTAAGCTTTTTCAGATGTTCAAATAGAGTAGCACAGAAATGCTACTCTAAGGGACAGGCTATTCGAGGATCATGGAGTTCAAGGCTGTGTAAAGAACCTGATGTTTTTTTTTTATTAAGCTTTTTATGCATTTATTTTTACCTTTATTTAAATCAATGTATGTGTCTGGATTTTTGTCATGTTTTTCATACTGGGAAGGTCTAATGAGCTTCCTTTGACCCTGACTGAGGCACCCTCTGTAAAACAAAGGTTTTTACATTATTACCAGAATTTGTCTGTTCCAAGTAAGTTGTTCCCAATAGAACATTTTTACTCTTAACACAATTTATTTTTAGGCAAGTAGAAACTTAGTCACATAGAATAGTGATTATCCCAAAAACAAGCAGCATTTTCTTCTTACTCCTGCATATCTCTTCAAGGTTTATTAGCTGTCATTTTTTTAAATAGACTTAATCTAAAAATGAAATAAGTACCAGCTTTTACTCAGGCAGTAGAATGGATGAAGTTTAATGAACATCATCTTTGTAAGAAGGTATTACTGTGCTAGGACTGTATTTTTATCCTGTGACTTGATTTTTTTCTAGTTTTGTGCTACAATATTTGCATCTTTCCAGATCATTTGCAAGGAAATTTAGTTGTCCAATTGCTGTGATGTTCTCTATAGAATTTACAATATTCTAAATGTTTAATTACAATGTGTGATTGTTGGTGCAGACTAGGAGAAGCATATTAACAAGAATAACTACTTGAATTGTGGTCATCTAAAATCTTGCTGTTAGCTTAAAGCCTGCCCTTTTTTCATCAGAAACTCTCTCTGTGTCCTACTTTTAATTATAGACTCAAACTCAAAGCTGTTGAGCAATAAGGATATAATTTTAACCAGAGGACTGAGAATATGTTTAGCTGTCGTTTTGGTTTTTTTTTTTTTTCATTTTACCCCAAAAGAAAATCCACCTTTTTTACCTGCTTTTCTAAATATATTAAAATGGAAATGATAAAAATAGGGCTGAAAGAGTGAATATACCAGTTTAATATCTGCTGAAATAATTCTGTTCATTTTCCTTGCTTGTGTGTTTGGTGTACGGTGTGGAGATAAATATTTCCCTCCAAGCCACAAAACTAGCCATATGTAATGAAGTGCAGTCATGATGGACAGAATGTGTTATCACTGTAAGAAAAGAAGTGGCAAAGAGTTTCTTACTCAAAGAAGTGCTGAACTGTATCTTAACATATTGTTGAGTTGTAGAAAAGTAAAAGGTTAATTTTCTGTTGTTAATGAACAAAACTGTTTTAATATAGATTTATCTTAAGTCTTTATCGGACTGAAGAGCATAAAACCAAGTCTGTCTTGATATGGAGGATGTTGAGTTATTTGTACTGGAAACAAAAGCTTAGCTATTTTGACCTTGTCTTTCTATATGAACTTTTCCACTGTTTTGTTTTTTGTTGTTTTTTTTTTAAATCACAGCAAGACCAGCTTTATACTTGGGCTGCAGTTAGCCAACCCACACATTCAAGAGATTACACTGAAGGAAGTTTTCCAAGGAGAATTCCATCTGCGTGGCCTCCACCCAAACCTCCAGATGAAGAACAAAGGCTGAAAAGTTCAGAAGAAGGTACAGTTCTTGGATACAGAAAAGATAAACGTATAGGATATAGGAAGCTGCTGTGTTTAAGAATCTGAAATATAAACTTAGTATCTTAGGTACTAACAAACACCTGGTTTTGAGAATCTTGGAATAGCCTCAGAAATAATGTCAGCTAGTATGAATCTAATAAAAAATATTTGCCAAAAATGCATTCTTTTTGTTAGCAACCAAGATGTGTACCTGGCATCTGTTAAATAATGGATTTTGCCAGGTGCTGTGGTCTTTATTCTTTTCCACTATACATACCTTCAGAGTTATGACATATGAGTTCTTTTTTTTTTTCTTAAAAATATGAAAAATTCAGAAGCCAGTCGACTGGTGGTATACTGAAAGTTATTAGAGTGGTGTAAGGCATTCCTTTGTAGATTCAGCAGTCCTGTGCTGACAGAGGGGTAGGAAAAATGTATCTGAAAAAATAAAGTGAAGACTTGTTTACAAAGCCAGTTTACCTTAAAATTTGTGGGGTTATGCTACCAGATGAATTTCTGCAGTCTTCTTCATGCTCTTTAAGAGCTTTGTTGACACTGATAATTAAAACCAAGCAAGAAAAAAACCTCCCTTGTAGTTGACAAAGAAATTTAGAAGATGATTTCAAGCCTGTTTTCTGTTAGTAGTGTTGACCCATAAATACCACAGGTTCTTGGAAGCTTTGCTTCCTATTAGTTAGCATTCAGCAGCTCTCAAAACTGTGGACTGCATTCATCCCCATGCTGTCCATGAAGAGCCACTGGGTATTCTCAAATTTTTCATTCCTTTCCATTCCTCCTTTTCATTGCTCAGAATTGAAGAGTTAAGTCATTATTTCAACAGATCTCTTTGCATTACTTGTAGGCTTTGGGTGGAGTTAATTTCAGATTTGCTTCTCTTTGGGACTTCTCTGCCACTTCCTCTGGAACATGACCAAAGTATTTCTTGCACAGACACCTTTTACCATGGCAACATTTTACTTTTACTGGTATCACTTATTTCAGCGTTCACAAGCAAAAGAAGTGATGCCAACAAAAATGCAATACTGCTGTATTATTCTGTTTAATGCTATGCTTTTTACCAAAGGAATTCTATTGGAGATCAAGGAAATCTTTCTGCATCCATCTCACTGACACAATTCAGAGAGTGGAAGTCTGCAGTGCTGGATTGTTGAGCTAGTTCAGATTTTAACCAATGATCTCCTATTTTATGCTGTATTCAATGAAAGTGCTGCCATATGTGGTGGTAGAATTTACTGCTATCTACTCTGAGAGATGTCTCAGCTGGGAGACTTACCTAATGGATGAGTGATCACACTGGAAAAACAAAAGGGTGAATTTCAAATTAAATTGTTCTGAGGTTTTAACCCAGCAGAGGTTAGTGTAAGTCAACAAGAGTTTTGTTTCTCTAAAATCTAGAAGAATGTTGATAACATAAAATATATTGAAATTTAAAGATACACTTAGAAGTGTATTTCTATCAAAAGGACAATACTGATAATTTTAAAATGTAGTTATTTTGTATGTGATTTGTTTAAAGCCTATGTTTTTCTGTTTATTATACCTACTACTACACAGATGTAATGTGTACAGGACTTGTCTCTTCCTTTTCTTATCCACTGCCCTCTCAAAAAAACTGCAAAAATAATTAGAAATAGAGTTAGAAACAAAGCCAAAAATTGTGCATTGGGAGTTTTTCTAAGTTTAATAAAAGTAGTTCTTAAGGTGCATTTATTGAAATTTTGGTGTGATTTTTCAATGTAGGACATGGAGGAAAAGGAAAAGTTATAATTCTTTTGAATTCAACTTAGGCAGACGAATAATTTAACTTTCTTTAATTGTTCACATGCCTGCCATTTTAAAGAAGCTGGAGGTGAGTGTTGTGAAACCTGAGGATAAACACTGTCCTCAAAATTTGTAGCTAAATTATTTTGTGTATTTACGCCTTTGCAGTGTATAGGGGACAAATATTTTTTTTAAGGTTTAAATTATGTATGGTTTTTCATATATAATTATTGCTGTCTGGATTAAAGAGATATATTGACATTAGAAAGAATAGCTCATAAACAAAAACCTGCATTTTAGACAAAAGCCTTGATTGAGAGAGGATGCAGCAGGATGTTTTTATAGAATCTTTGTTTTTATTATATACATTAGCATTAGAAAAATGGTAGGCCCTCAAGCTTTAAGTAAGTCAAGAGACAAAATTCTTCAAGGTTTTAGGTAATCCATCCTAAATTAGCAAAGTAGTTAATAATCTGTTTAGTGTAGTTTGTATTTAATAGTGTTGCTGTATGCTCTCTGTCATTGCTGAATGTGTGAAAAGGGTTGTTGTAGTGGTTGGGAATTTTTGGGGCAGTGCGTTTGGTCAGGTTGATTATTGTTGGTTGGGGATTTTCTAGGTTGGTTATTTATTTAAAAACAGACATTTGGAAATACCTAATATGAACTTGGTCCTTTTTAGAAGGGTAATATTTCTGAGGTAAAAATAAGCTAGATAATGCTGTCATATTGTTAAATATTGACCAGTATATAGGAGTGGTCTGTTCCTCTTTTCTTAAACACTTTTGTGTAAGGGAGGTAGTTGTGCTAATTTGCACAGCAGAAAATATTCAGCATTGTGGGTGCATGTCTAACACTAGTAAATCAACATAGAATGAATCTGTTGTGAGCAAAGATCAAAAAGATAATAACACTTCTCTCAAACACAGAGAAATCTAAAATCTAAATGAGGAATTATTTCTTGCTAGATACAGTTTATCCATATCAAGGTAAAAAAAGTTGTGGATAGTTAATTTTCAAGCCTTGTGACATAACTCACACTTGCAATGAAACTTCTCCCTTGTATGTCTCACTTCTCAACGGCTGGGATTGTCAGAAAGCTGTGAGGAGGCCAAATGTCCAGAAATTACAAATCCAGAAGCTCTGGTTCATAGCTGCTTCACTTTTTCTGCAAACAGTCAAGAGTTTTCCCTGTTGAATAATGGCACCTTTAAACATATAGGAAAGATGCCACACATATAGTTTCTGGGCAGGTGTAAGAAAAATACTTCAGTTCTTGTTATATGTAAATAACTGGTCTATGATCAGTTAAAAGGCATCATTAGCTGTAGCTCCTAAACTGATTAAAGCTCTTTGCACTTTGTAGCTTCTGTGGAGTTGTTTGCTTGTTTGTTTCCCTTTTCCTGATTATTTCCTATAAGGCAAGGAAAATGAGACACAGAGCAGTTTTTAAGGTCAGAAAAGTAATCTGGTTTTAAAATAAGAAATAGAATATAGGTGTGGAGTGTCTTAGTTTTGCTCTATTTTTAAGATCTCTATTAGTATCTATGTCATTGTGAAGTTTTCAAATTTCTGTGGTAGTCAAAGAAAGGAAAACATAGTTGGCAAGAGTAATCTGTTTTACGAACAGGTAGGTTTTGGGATCATTTGGAAAGTGGGACAGCTAAGATTCTTTTAACTTTACACTCCTTTAATGAATTTCTTAATGTGTATTTCAAAAGATCAGTGAATTTTTTTATTTATATAATTTTAAAATCTCTATCTTCTTTCCAAATTCAGAGTTGAAATCTACAGTCCTAGAAAAAGAGAAGCAATGCACAGATGGTGTACAGCGGGCACAGGTAAGATTCTAACAGAAATGTTTTATCAGTTTTCAAAAAGAGATCAAAAAAGCAGTATTTATTTTCAGATATTTTTGAAATAGCTTTGTGTACTAAATATTCTGTATGAAAAAAAGTCTAAAGTGAGGGTGTTCTATATAGTCTATAGTGTATCTAGGTGTAAGGATTGAAGGTTCCTGCCTGCCTAAGGTGATTCTTACAAAATGTTACTGCCCATTCAAAAGTAAGTTAACCCTCTGATGGCAGAGGAATATTTATAAAATATCATATTATAATAGCTAATCTACAAAAGAGCATGTAATTAATAGTGGCAGGGATTGTTTTCTGACTCTCTCCTCAAGCTTACAGCAGTGATAGTATGTGAACATGTTTAGAGGGCATGCTGGACTTAAAAGGAGATAATGTAATACTGGGACAGTCTGGGTTGGATTTATGCCACAGATATACAGTCTATCATATTTTTTTTAAAATGTTACCATGCGTATTCTATTCATCATAAAAGGTGGTGCAGTTTGATGGGGCTGAGGAACTTCAGATTCTGTTTCCTCAACAGGAAACAGATTTATCTCACTTGTGGATAACACTATTCAGTTGTGGAAGTCATTAAAAGGAAGACTCGGTTCTGAAATCTTGGTTTAAAACAAGCAGTCACATAAAGCTCTTGGAGTCTCTGTTCTCCCTCCTCTGTTTCCCAGCTTGTTTCCCTTGTTTCCCGCTTTAGGTTTGTTTTGGGCTTTTTTTTTATGGGATGTTTTTTGTTTCTTTTGGTTTGCTGGGTGTTTTATTGTGGTGTTTAAGGTTTTTTTTTTGGGGGGGGGGGGATTGGTATTTGTTTTGGGGCTTTTTGTGTTAGTGACAGGAAAATTTAAGCATCACTGTATATCAAGCAGCATTTGTATTTGTGAAAATGGTCAGTAATTTGCTTTTCAGGGAAAAATAAGGAATGTGAAGTTAAATGCATACTACCGATCATTAGACCTGTAAATTTCATTTGGGCTTGATCACATATTTTGTGAGCCATGGGTGGGGAGAGTATGTGTATTGCCTTTATGGCTTGCCTTGCCAAACAACTTTAAAGAGTTATTTTAGCTGCTTAGCTAAATTCTTCTAACTTGATAATCTGGAACATTTTTAAACTGTAGTTTGTGAATTAAAATAATATTACAAAATAATTCTTCATTCTGGTATTTTAAGTTTAACCTAAAATATATTTTTCTCATGCTATTTTTATATTCCACTCACCCAGGTTTCACTAACAATGGTTTCTATTATTAATTGTGGAAAAGCACTTTTTTCCCTATAGTTACAGAAAGTTGAAGCATGTAAGGAACATATTTATCAGTCTCTAGTATTATAATTCATTGCAAGGAAGGACCTATATAAATGGTTTTCTTATTGGAAATGTAAGTAATTTAAATAGGTTGATGAATATGTAGTCACTTTTTTTTAAAATAGATAAAATATTATGAGAATACCTATGAGAATGAAGTTTAGCCAGCAGCAATGGAGTACTGTGTGATTGCTTGAATGGCATTTACTTTTGATTGGGAAGTTTTCTTTATTTTTAGAACTAACCTAGTATGTTGTCCAATCCCTGAATTCCATTTGTTAGTGTTTAGGATACCCCCATCCCTCTTACTCTGTGATGATCTCTTATGGCAGTAACATGAACTTCTTCTGTTCTATACTATTATTTATCAATGACCTGCAGGACTAACAGGATTACCTCACTTGCAGAAACTAGTCTCAAGTTTTTGCTGTATTATGTCATCATCATTCTGGTTTATTTCAAAAATCAGGGTGGAGATTTTTTTCTTTTGAGGAACTATATGTGGATAGCATGTTGTCATATGTTTAAATTATTTCTGTGGTGTCCCAAGCAGTCAAGCATATTCTACTTATCTATTGGTGTTCATAGATATAAATCATGAATCTATAAAAACATCTAGAGTAGCATGGCCATCATGTTTTTTAGGTAAATCCCGTACTGCAATCAGATCATTCTTGGTGTTATTTGTACAATTTTTAAGTGATGAACATGTTTCTATTAGAGAACTACCCTCTTGTGTGGTCTGCAGTTTTAATTTGTGAAAAAGAAAGCATTGGCTGAAGTTAGCCTAGTAGGTGATTTTTCTCTTTTTCTTTTTATACATAAACAAAAGAGAGCTCTAGTTTAAAATTTAAATTGACCAACTAAGTCTTCTTACAATATCTTCCCTCTCCTTTCTCTGAGAAAAGACATTTCCTACATACTATTAATATAATCGAAGATTATTGGCCAGAGCACAATTGTAAAATGATGTGGTGATAAATTGTCTCAGGATAAACAATTAACAAAAATAATCAGAATAATTTTAAATTTAATGCCCAAGTAATACAGCCTGGATTGTATACTTTGTTGTCACTTGAAGAGGCTTCTTCATATATATCCTCTCCATTTTCTTGTCTTCACAAATTTATATATAAACTGATTGTTTTACAGCATATTTTCTGAACTTTTTTAAGAGTGTTTTTTTGAGTGCAAAATATCTAGTTTTTCTAAATTACAGCTACATAAAAATAAGGATGTGGGGGTGTGCTTGCTTTTAATACAGGAATTGTTAAGTGGTGGAAAAGTAAGAAAAATTGGCAGCCATTTCAAGTCCTGCTTTTGAAATGCCAAATAGCAGCAATGTCTGCTTAGTCTTCCCAGTATGAACAGAGAACAGTTTGTTAGGCTTAACTCCTTTAGAGAAAGAAGAAGAGAAAAATTGAGTGGCCTAATTTAGAAACTCCAGCTTCAAACCTGATCTTCAAATTTAACAGCCATGCTTTGAGGAAGAGCCAATTTCTGTTCTGTTTGTACCCCTGATCTCTTGTACTGTCCTCGCAATTTTCATTACATTTTAACTCACTTTTCAGAGTAGCTTGATTTTGTTAACATGGTAGGTTAAAATAGATTCTTATCAAAAAGATTAAGAAAAAAAGAATAATTGTAAAATGAGTACATGTAAACTAGGCTTTGGTTAGTAGTGGGACATCACAGAGCCAGAAACATTAAGTTGTCTGAAAGGCACTTAAAAGCATTTTCTTATACACCATATTATAAAATTATTTTAAACTTCTGTGTTTGATCATTTGTGATGAGAGTCTTTTCTGTGGACCACACAATTTTAAAAACTAAGTCGTTATTACATTTATTTACTTGTCAGCATCCAGATGTAATGAATACTTCATGCCACTTTATGCCTGGTCCTTATAATCCCACCTCAGGAGAGGAGGTTTTGCTAGACTGTTGCAGTCTCTAGTAGATTGGTTATAAGATAGTTTACACTGACTATTTAAACTATATTTACATCAGAAAAGCTTATCATCAAAAAATTCTTATGCTCATAATATTTCTGTCTTAGTTTGGTTTGGTTCACCACATTTTACCCAACAAATAAATCCTCAGCCAAAATTATATGCCTTTTTTGGAATTACAAGTATTTCCACTGGTACTAAAAGCCAGACAAAATTTTGGCAGTTCTGAGGTGCTGAAGATGGGTTTCTACTGCATACTCTATTGGTATACTTTCCAGCAATATCATAGGGAAACAATGCTAAACTTAAAAAATAAATTGCAAGCCAAGTTTTGCCATCTTGAAGATACTTTCTGCTTTATAAAAACAGACTCATGGAGTGCATCTTTAGAATATTCCTAACCACCTCATTTTACTGGTGACTCATCTTTCAGTAGGGACCTTTCTTCTTAAGCTAGTTTTTGGCTATGACTTATAATTCCTTAGGGTAATAGCTTAGGATATTGGAAACGTTCCAATTTTGACACTTTGTAATACAAGAAAAAAGGTTCTGAAATCCTTTAAGATAAATACACAATCAGTCTGTTTAAAAAGTATAAAACGTTGGTGGGACTGGAATTTACTTTTCATTATTAGAAAATGTCACCACTAGAATTTGTCTCAGAAACATGCATGCTACCTAAAGCTCTCTCTTAAAAGAAATTTCAGAGATTATTCTTTATAGGTGAAGGCAAGACAAAGAAGGTAGATGAAAGATTATTCTGAAATTAAACTGAATTAATCTGAAACTAAAGAATTTTTTAAAATGTGAGATTTTATAAACCTGCTTTAGACTGTTATGACACTTGCAGTCTGGTATAAAACCTGTTTGGTTTTGGTGTTACAGCACATAGACCAACTATAGACAAGAGTAGTGAACCACTGGCTTCAACAGGAACCTGAGGAAAATTGGGAACTCTTCTTCTTTGGCTCACAAACAGCTCTGTGGCTGTAGCACTTCTAACACCATCTGATTCTGCACGTTCTTTCTTAAGATATTTATTAAGAAAAAAACTGCGGAGAAGGGTCATTCCCCTCCCATCCTTTTGCTTTTTGACAGGTTACTTTTTGTAAGGGGGAAGGGAAGTCTTGAGGAAGCAATGAATAGTTACTCTAAAACAATTATTTTTCTATAAAAATGACTGCCAGAGTCTTAGATTTCAGCAGGGAAAAATAAATTGCATACTTGAGTAAAAAAAATCCAACCAAAAAAATGTATGACATATTCAAAGGATCTATAATATACGGTTATCTCATTGAGGAAATAAAGGATTATGACAGAAGATAATAGTTTTGGATGTTTTCATTTGAATCAAGTGATAATGAATAGAAGTGTATATCTCCTTTTAAGAACAGTACCAATGTAAACTTTCTGCAAAATCATGCCAGCATACCCAAAATTCAGAAAAAAAAAAAGTTTAAAGAAGTCAGTGGTATTTCTCTGGGGTCTTTTATCTTGCAAAATGTAAACCCAGATTTGTAATACGTGATGTGGAGGAACTTATATTCTAATTGTAGATCCAATGTTAGAATTCTGTAGCTTAGCTTTAAGTGGTTGAATTTTGGGACGCATATGTAGATAGTGGTGTTTTCTTGCTAGCATTTAGAGTAAATGATGTTTTTATCAGAAACATGCAGAAAGGTACAAAGTTTGTAGGAAACAAGGTGATACAAACCTGG